CACACACACACACACACACACACACACACACACACACACACACACACTAAGCTCTCCACACACACACCCTGGGCTGAGCGGTTCTGCCGGTTGCAGCCCTGGGCCCCTGCTCACCGTGCTGCCACTGCCTGCGAAATGACGGCGGTTCCCCTCACTTCCAGGAATCCACGCTTCCTGGAAGGTGAGTGGCTGGGCTCACCCCTGCCTGCCACCGAGACGCAGACATGCACACACCACCCGCACTCCCTCGCCGTTTCCAAGGCGGCGGCAGCGTTCGCACCCCAGGGTCTCACCGGCAAGGGAAGGATAATGTAAGTTCAGGCAGAAGGCGGCTAGCGGATGGGGGGAAGGGGGTGACGGGGCTAGGGAGCCAATTCAGTAACAACTCCCAAGCCTGAGCAGAGGGAGAGGATGGGGGCTGTGTGGCGGGGGAGGGGGCGTTCCTCCTTACACTTGGGGAGGATGGGAAAGGGTGTTTGGTGTTGCTAAGGAAGACGGTGCCTTGGACAGTGGGAGCTTGTGGTGACATCTTGATTAGGCCTTGGGGACAGAGGTAGAGAGCAGCCAGGGGTAGAACGCTGAAAAAGGCCTGGGTGGGGATAGATAGCAGAAACACCACAGGAAGAGAAGCCTTGACAGGAGATGTTTCAGCAGGGAACAGAGATGTGAGGGGCCTCAGCCTCCTGCCCACAATAGAGCGGGCATGGCAGTCTTTCTTTGCTCATGCAGTCACTGGTCCAGATAGCAGGCTAGTAGCATCCTGCCACCGGGAGCCCGTGGCCAAGAAGAGAAAGCTAGAGAATGAGGTCCCTTGCAGAGCTCCTATTCAAGGGATCCAGGAGAGGGCTTGTCTCTTGCGGTGTGTGTGAGCTTAGCTAGTACTGCCTCCCATCCCTTCCCTGTCCCTTTCCCCACCTCTTAGTTGCTCTGCTGTGAACCTCAGGATTCAGCTTTGCTCCCTGGGGGTTCAGCCAATCTGTGATGGCTTTGACCAAGAGAATGTCCCTGATACCTGAGAGCAGCCTTAATTCTTGGCTTTGACAGTCTGAGATCTCTTGGAAGTCCCAGGCATTTGAAATTCCCTCACTGGGGTTTCTGAGGCTGAGAGGAACTGATGAGTTTCCCAAATCTGACTTTTGCCCCTGTCAGCTTCAGGCTAGAAATCTAAATCCCTGGAGCCCTACAAAGACCTTCTGGCCTTTGACACAGAAATCCTTCTTAGATTTTAGTGCCATGAAAGTAGACTTGAGTGTTTTCCCTCTTACCTTTATCCTAGGGATGACAACAGCATCAAAGAGCCTCTGGAATTACTGGTGCGCCTCGAGGCTCCTGCTTTCTCTCCTGTTTCCAGCCCTTCATTGGGACAGCCACAAAGAATGCTTCCTCTCAGTGCCATTAAGTGTCTCTTTAAGGACATTGTCTCCCAGATAGCTACCCCCTAGTCTTAGAGGCAACCTCAGCTCCACAAGTCTGGGACCAGATATGGATTTCCAAGGAGCACACTCATCGTTTTAGGATCAAGACTTAGCAGGTCCCTTCTGACTAACACTGAATGGTGTGGAGTAAGCCAGCACTAACCTTGGAATAAGAAGCTGGATGTGGTGCCTGTAACCCCTAGCTGGGGCAGGAGGATTGTCAGTTCACTTAGTCCTTTCCAGCCTAGCTAACCTTCTAGCCTCAGTAAACTCAGCCAAAGGGCCCGTGTTAAAACTGGGCCTGAATCTACAAGTCTTAACTGTCCTGAGCCGCTTTTGTCATGGGTTATGTCTGGTGCTGACTTCAGACAACTTTGTAAGAAAACCTTATTGCTTGCCCAAGGAGCCTCAGGGAAAATCAGATTCACTCCACAAGGCTTCTTGTATAGATGGTGATCGGGGTTCCTGAGGCTTCCGTGGGATAGAATGGGGAACGGGACTTTAGGAGAGGATGTGAATGAGAAATGGTCCCACAGTCCTGAGTGGTTGTTTTCTTCCCACTGACCAAAGCTGGAGAGGGATCCCTCAGGAGGGTGTGTTCCGGATTTCTTGCCTCAGGCCCAGGACTCCAACCATTTTATAATGGAATCTTTATTTTGTGAAAGTAAGTATGTGCATAGCTGGGAAACTGGTTAAAGTGGACTAGGTGGACTTTAGGGATGAATTTTAGGGTCTCTCTCTCTCTCTCTCTCTCTTTCTTTCTCTCTTCCATGTTTAGGCCTTATGTGCATATACCCATGCATGTTCGTGTTAGCAGATAATATAGACTGTGATGTTTATCCCAATATGTATGTTCTCTTTCTGTGTATCTACATATGTGATCTGTGTTTGTGTGTTTATCTGCATATGTTTTTATTTTATTCATATATATGTGCAGAAAGTTGTGGGGAGGAGGGATTTCTGAAGATGCTCTTGTTTTCGGGTATATATCAGATTATTAAAAACATAATTTTAAAAAGAATTTTTACAAAAATATTTGGTCAACAAGTTGAGTGATACATTCATGGTATTGATATTTAGCTCTGGAGAGAACATCAAATAGTAAATACGTGGTTGGATTTGGGTCAGCTAGAAAGCCCTCTATAGTGTTCAGAGCCTGGCTGGATTTAGAAACCCTCATGTGCCCAACTCACCTCTCGGAAACAGTGGCCAAGCAATGGTCAAGGACCTGACATTATCTTGTCTGTGCTCCTATCCCAGCTCAGCCACTACCAGTTTAGACAAGTAATGGAACATCTTTTGTGTCTCCTAATACAAAAAATTAAAATGATGTGCCTATTTCATAAGGTGGCTATGAAGCTTGAAGGAGTTAATTCATTCCAAGCCCACAGCCTAATACCTAGTACAAGTATTCTCTCAGTAAATATTAACTGCTACTATTATTGCTGTTAATATTATCATTAGATTCTAGACAGTTCTAGATGCCCTTCCTACAGAAGCTGCCACTGGGAACTCCAGAGACAGCCATAGGAATGATGTCCCGCGCCACCTTCTCAGGTCCCTGTTCTCTGTTCTACCCTGGCCTGCCCAGCCTGGGCCTGTTTCCTGCAGAGTTAGATGGTGGGTGACCCTCTTCCCGTCAGGCATAGATAAAGGTATGGTAGGCCGGGCTGAGCTCACGGAAGTCGGAGTCAGCGTTGGACACCCGGCCACTGGGGCACAAGGTAGGTGCTCAGCACTCAGCCTGTGCTGCACATGGCTATAGAATAAGTGTGATATCTAACTGACATTAAAAAAAAAAACAAAAAACATTAGGTTGTGGACTATAGATGGCTTCAGCCCAGGCTTTACCTGCTGTCTGTTCTCTCCTCCAAGGTAGCGGGGACTCATCTTTGGAGAAGGAGTTCCTCGGGGCCCCAGTGGGGCCCTCGGTGAGCACCCCAAACAGCCAGCACTCTTCACCAAGCCGCTCGCTCAGTGGTAAGTGTGTGCCTCCACCCACCCCTGGTGCTAGGCAGCCCCATTTTTGTTTGGCCCTCAATTTGCCTTCCCCTGGCCGCCATTTCCCCATCACCTCCGGTTTCCTGCTCAGAGACTCTCAAGGTAGGAAGGAGTCCAGGACCTAGACCTCTCCTAGCTTGTTAAAAGAATGAACAGCTAATGCCGGACTGGGGTAAAAGGCGTATGGGTGACATTTTGATAAAGGTTCCTGCCGGGCAGTGGTGGCACACTTCTTTAATCCCAGCACTCAGGAGGCAGAGGCAGTTGGATCTTTGGAGAGTTGGAGGCCAGCCTGGTCTATACAGTGAGTCCAAGACAGCCAAGGCTACAACAGAGAAACCCTGTCTCAAAAAAACAAAAATATGAAGTTCTGGCTGGGCACATGCTTTTAGTCCCGGTACTCAGGAGGCAGAAGCAGACATGTTGGTGAGTTGGAGGCCAGCCTAATCTATAGATCAAGTTCCAGAGCAGCCAGGACTATACAGAGAAACCCTGTCTGGGAGGTATGGGGGGTGGGGATGGAAGATAAAGATTCCAAAGAAAAATTCTGGAATTGGAGTTATAGAGAGACAGAAATAGTCACTGGGTAGAGAGAGGAAGTACATAGCAGTTAGCAGCAGCAGTGGTCATTCACCATGTCCCATCCCACAGATAGGGTCCCCGAATGCCCCTCCCCAGCTGGCCCGAGCTCTGTTACATTCTCTAAATGGTTGAAATGGCCAGGAATGTAGGTCAGAGCTAGTGCCAAAGCTCCCCCCCCCGTGTCCCCTCAGGTTTCTCAGAGAGGCAAAGGGGGTTCAGTCTCAAAGAAAGGATAAGCCATACCTGCCTTTCAGATTTACTGCCTTTAGCCTGCTCTCCCCTTCAGTGTTCCTGAGACTGGTTCCTGCCACTGTTACTTGCTGGATTCCCAAGGACAACCCAGACTTCCTTCCCTCCTTCCTTCCTTCCCTTCTTCCTTCTCTCCTTCCTTCCCTCCTTCCCTCCCTTCTTTCTTCCTTCCCTCCTTCCTTCCCTTCTTCCTTCCCTCCTTCCCTCTCTCCCTCCTTCCTTCCCTCCCTCCTTCCCTCCCTCTTTCCTTCCTCCCTTCCTTCCCTCCCTTCTTCCTTCCTTCCCTCCTTCCTTCCTTTCTTCCATTCCTTCCTTCCTTCCCTCCCTCATTCCTTCCTTCCTTCCCTCCCTCCTTCCTTTCTTCCATTCCTTCCTTCCCTTCTTCCCTCCTTCCTTCCTTCCTTTCTCCTTTCTCCTTTCTTTCTTTTCTTTCTTTCTCTCTTTCTCTTTTTTCTTTCCTTGGTTCATCCTTTTAGACAGAGTACTGTGTAGCACTGGCTGACCTGGAATTCACTGTGTATACCAGGACGGCCTTAAACTTTCAGATATCCAAGTGGCTCTGCCTCCTGAGTGCTGGGGCTAAAGATGTGTGCCACCATGCCCAACCAAACATCTTTCTTAGTCACAGAGAGTGCAGGCAAAGACTCCTCTAAGTCACCTCTTCTGCCCAGTGACAAAAGACAGCTTCTGCACACTCTACAGCCTGTGTCTGCTGGATACTCTATGCGCTCTCTATAGCCTTTGCACACTCTGTGTGCTCCATTGTTTCCAGTTCAGATGATAGTGTCATCCTCTGAGATAGCAAAGAGGCTGCTGTCTGTCCTGACACTTGTGCGCCCCAGGGTTTGCAGTCAGTCACCCTGTTGGGCTAGAAACATGTCATTCTGTCCTGGGAGATGTTGCCCCTTTGCCTGTCTCTATTCTAAACATCAGTCCCCTGACCCCCAGCTAACTCCATCAAGGTGGAGATGTACAGTGATGAGGAGTCAAGCAGACTGCTGGGGCCAGATGAACGGCTCCTGGATAAGGATGACAGTGTGATTGTGGAGGACTCATTGTCGGAGCCCTTGGGCTACTGCGATGGAAGTGGGCCAGAGCCTCACTCCCCTGGTGGCATCCGGCTACCCAACGGCAAGCTCAAGTGTGACGTCTGCGGCATGGTCTGCATCGGACCCAATGTGCTCATGGTACACAAGCGCAGCCATACTGGTGAGTAAGCCGAAGGGCTTCAGGCTCTGGGCAGGGCTGCTGCTGGGAGGCAGAGCTGCGCTTGGTGGGAGGAGGCTGAGAAACGAGAGGGTCAATCACAGCATGTTTTCTAGATGATGGAAATAAAAGGAAGGGAGGAAGGGCTATGAGCCCCTACCCTTTTCTTCAGCTGTGTGACAGAGAAGTTTCTACTGCTTTCCTCAGGATGTAGAGAGAGTGGTGTTGGGGCCTCTGGAAGGACCCTTGGAGCTTCAGTGAAGATCAGTGGTGAGGCATGTCCATGTGTAAACCCTCCTTGTGGGTGTCAACACCAAAAAAGCCTTGTAGAAGGAGGGAGCGCTGTCCAGTATCAGTCCAAAAGGGACAGACTTCCAGGGCCTTCTCATCTCATTTAAAAGGTGGGGCACAGAGCCTCTGCTTGCCCTCCTCAGACCTTGGGCTCCTGGGTCAGACTGAACTTCCTCGGCTCTTTTGGCAGCAGTCTTTTGGCAGGTCTTCTAGGCAAAGTACTGGTTTCAAGTCACACAACTCTAATCCACACCTTTTCAGGTGACCTCTGTAAAGTAGGCCTGGTGTGTGTGGCACCCACTGGCCCTCCAGAGTGTTCTCAGAGAACTTTCCCTCCACCCTTCGACCTCCTCATGCCATCTGGAACCTGTTCTTTCACCTGCAGGGGAGAGGCCCTTCCACTGCAACCAGTGTGGTGCCTCCTTCACACAGAAGGGGAATCTCCTGCGCCACATCAAACTGCACTCTGGGGAGAAGCCCTTCAAGTGTCCCTTCTGCAACTACGCCTGCCGGCGGCGCGACGCACTCACCGGCCACCTCCGAACACACTCAGGTCAGTGATGGTCCAGCAGGAACCAACAGCGTGGTACCCGGCGTGATCAGAAAGTAGCACTCCAAGACTTTTCTCCGGAGAGGGATAATAGCTGTCACTGAGGAGCAGAGAGCATTGACAGGGCAGACAGGGCCCTGGCTTGCTGACGTGGGCAGGAGGATCTATGACGAATCTGTGGGAGTCTTTACTCCAGTATTTTACTGCCACATTCTGTGACATGACATGAATAATATTCCTGGCTTCTTTCTGACCTTTGTTTTCTAAACATTGTAATGATGTCAATACCATGTGTGGCTCATTACCCTCAATTCTGAGCCCTGTGGGTGCTCTCTTCCCACTCTCATTTGCATCAGGACCCACGCCTGTCACCATATTTACCACAGTCCTACTCCAAAACACCAGAGGTCTTGGACAATCACTGAGTATCCTCTCTTGAACTTCCTAACAGCTCCTATAAATGTCTATGGGTCTCCAAAACTGAAAGGAAGGGAGCTAGGACCTCCAAATAGGAAAAGAAGAGACTGTCTCATTTCTGCTCTGCATCCCAAGAAGTGGTAATTTCTTCACAGACAAGAGCAAGACCAGAGCATACCCAGAGGCCAGGTGTTGGAACACTGCTAGGAAACTGGAGCTAGCCTACTACTCAAGATGCTCTGAAGCTGAGTGGCTGTCTGCCAGCACCGGAGAGGTAGAGGAGAAGGGTCAGGCATTCAGTCAGCGTGGGCTATGTGAGACGCTGTCTCGAAATAAGCAAAGAAAGATTTTGAAGTGGTATCTGTCGGGAGGAATGGGAGAGAGAGTGCTTCCCAGGGTTTTACTAAGTTCTGGACTCCTGCCTGGGGAAAGAGGTCAGATCCAGAGACGCGAGCTGCCAAGGAAGAGGGGAGCTAAGAGTTGAGGAGAGGGAAGAGGGAGAAGAGTTAGTAGTCTGTCCTCAGAATCTTCTCTGGGCTTTTCTCTTTTTCTAAACCCTCCTGGGTAGAACCATGGGCACAGAGAGGCACTGCAGCATCTCTGCTTCCTCTATCCAGCCTTGCTCCAGATTCTCATGTGTGATGGGGCCTCTTTGCCTCTCTGTGTGTGGAGGAAGAAGTATGATTTTCACTGACTTTTGTTTTATAATCTATAGAGAATTTATCTTGTGTCTCCTTATGTGATCATTATAAGAATATCAGATGCAGCCGGGCATGGTAGCACTCGCCTGTAAATCCCAGCACTCCAGAGGCAGAGGCAGGCGGATTATTGTGAGTTTGAGCCAGCCTACAAAGTGAGACCCTGTCTCAAAAAGCAAAACAAAGCAAAACCAAAAAAAGAATTTCAGATGCAGGCAAGGGAGTTAAAATGCCCTACCCCCACCTTTTTTCTTTTTTTTAATTTATTTCTTTATTAATTACATTTTATTCACTTTGTATTCCATCTGTAGGCCCCTAAGCACTCCACTTTTTGAGACAGGGTCTTATGTATCCCAAGCTGACCTCAAACTCTCTGTGTGGCCAAGGATGACCTTCACTTTCTGACCCCAGTTCTCCTGCCTCTATCTTTTGTTTTGTTTTTGTTTTTTGTTGTTGTTGTTGCTGTTGTTTTCTGAGACAGGGTTTCTCTGTGTAGCCCTGGCTGTCCTGGAACTTGCTCTGTAGACCAGGCTGGCCTGGAACTCATAGAAATTCATCTGTGTCTACCTCCTGAGTGCTGGATTAACAGTGTGTGCCACACTTCCTTGAGCATAGGTTTTGAAGAGATACACCACCACTCCTGCTTATGAGCAGCTGGGGATCAAACCTAAGGCCACACATACACACACACACACACACACACACACACACACACGGAAAAGTATGCTACCAACTAAGCTAGAGCCCCAGTCCTGAAGCCCCATTTGTTTAATAAGGAAACTGATTCTATGCGGAAAAAAATAAATGTATGGTCCCCATCAAGATCCGATGCCCAAAATATCTGTTCTTTTTTTTTTTCTCAGGAAAGGGTGACTCCTCCTGCTTGCTTGGAACAAAAATAGCTTGGCCCCAGAATGCTAGATTTTTTTTTTCTTGAGACGGGGTCTCACTGTTTAGCTCTGGCTAGCCTGGAACTTGCCGTGTACATCAGGCTGGCTTCAGACTCACAGAGATGCAACTGGATCTGCCTCCCAAGTGCTGGGATTAAAGATGTTAACTCCCACACCCTGCAGCCGCCTGGGAGGCTTAGGAGGTTAAGGGAAAGCAGGCTTACGTGAGGGTCTCCTCTCCGTGACCTTTCCTGTTACAGCTCACACTGTAAGACATAAGGACTAGAGGATCATTCTTCTCCCAGCGTGTTAAACCGTTTCCCCAGGGTCTTGGGTGGAGAGCGCCCTGGGGCTTATTTCATTCCTTAAACATGTCACTCACAAATGAAGAGCAGCATGGCACTAGTAGCAATAAATACAAATATGCAATACCTTGTTCCTCTTTGTTCTTTCCTCTCCTCTCTCTCACACACAAAACCTCCTTCCAAGAGTAGTGTTTAAGCAAAGTTACCAATCTTAGTTTTCTCAGTTTATCTTGAGAGCTTTATAACACATTCTTAAAAACAAAACACACACTTGTTCTCTTTCTTTTACTTTTCATCATCTTCTTTGGTTTTTTGCTCTTTGTCTCTGTTTCTGCTCAGTGTGGGGCTCTCTGGCTTTCTCAGTGACAGAAAAAGAAAGCAGTCAGTAAAGCCAGACAAGGGCTGGAGATAAAAGTCCAAGTGAAGGCCCACAACTGCTGCCCTCCCCAGTGGGCAGATCTGCCTGCTGCTTCAGCCCACCAATTTCCCTCCAACCGAAGCAAAAAGTCCCCTTGTCTGATAAACAGCTATTACACCCGCCTGCCACAGGGAAAGGTTAAACCACAGTCTCAGCCCCAGACTCTGAGACCCTGGGGTGCAGCCCATGTGCTTGGCAGGGGCCATCCCCTCCTGAGCCATCAGGTCTTCACTTCCTTTCAGAAGCAGCCAGAGCTTCTAAAAGCCCTCTACAGCCTGAAGCTGTGTGCCACCCGGTCCCCTCGCTTTTCTCTATATTTCCAACGCTTCCTCAGATTCAGTTCAGCTGCTCTTTGTTGTAGGTAGAGTTGGGGAAGGGGAGACAACAAACAAATCAAGCTAGCAAGTCTCCTCTGCCAGTGTGCAGCTGCTGCTGCAGGGTTCTGTAGGCAGAAGCTCCTCTCATGCCGCCTCTGCTCTCTCCTCCACAGTCTCCTCTCCCACAGTGGGCAAACCCTACAAGTGCAACTACTGTGGCCGGAGCTACAAACAGCCAAGTACCTTGGAAGAGCACAAGGAGCGATGCCACAGCTACCTCCAGAGTCTCAGCACTGAGGCGCAAGCTTTGGCTGGCCAGCCAGGTAGAGCTGTGGGAGTTTCCTAGGGAGCTTAGGGTAGCGCCAGGAGTTCAGGCAAGGCTGACTCTAGCACCTCTTCCCACAACCATGAGGTTTCACTCAGTAAACCTTTCAAGCACCCATTCCTAAGCACCCCATGAGTGCTCAGTACAGCTCTGGGGCAGGCCTGTAGGGATATGCAGACAAAGAGGAAATTTGGATCTATATCCTCAGCCTAGTGGGAGAGAAATCACAAAGAACGAAGGATAGAGGGCTAGATGTATGTAATTATCCTCAAATGGTCTAAAGTGTTGCTGGAATGAGCTTTAGGTAAAGAGCCTTTAATCCCAGTACTTAGAAAGTAGAGGCAGGTGGATCTCTGTGAGTCCAAGGCCAGCCTGGTCTACAGAGTGAGTTCCAGGCCAGCCTGGTCTACAGAGTGAGTTCAAGGCCAACAGGGCTGTATAGTGAGATCCTCTCCCCCCCAAAAAATAATAATAATAGAAAGAAGGAAAGGAAGGGAGGAAAGGAAAGGGAAGGAAGAGAAGGAAGCAGAAGGAAGGAAAAGAAGGAAGAAACAAAGAGCCGGGTGGGTGGTGGCAGGACACATCTTTAGCCCTGGGAGGCAGAGGCAGGTGGCTCTCTGGTCAACAGAGTGAGTTCCAGGGCAGGCAAAGCTTCACAGAAAAACAACCCTGTCTTGAAAAACCAAGAATGAAAAGAAAAAGAAAGTCTCCCAGGTCTCAGGTGTAGCCTCCCTGAACTACTGACTAGCTGGCTTTCTTCAGGCGAAGGCTGCTGGGCCAATGCCACCCTTACTCAGCTGCTGTTCCCTGCAGGTGATGAAATACGTGACCTGGAGATAGCACCCGACTCGATGCTGCACTCATCCGAGAGGCCAACTTTCATTGATCGCTTAGCCAACAGCCTCACCAAACGCAAGCGTTCCACCCCACAGAAATTTGTAGGTAAGAGGTTGGAAAAGAGACAGTAGCTTTAAGCATGGCTCAAATAAATCACAGCTTTGACTGCCATTAGACCAGAGATGTAGGCCTGGAGATTTGATTTAGGGGGGAAATCAGCCGAGTGGTCTCTGTGGTGCTCAGAGTGTCTCCTGAGAGAGGAGTGCGTGGAGACAGAAGATGTGCTTCATGAAACTTGGGGATAGCACAGTCTGGAAAGGGCTTGCAAGCCTGAGAACCAGAGGTTTTACCCCCAGAACCCACGTGAGAATGCCAGACCTGGCCCTGGTCATCCTAGCACTGGGAGGGCAGAGCCGAAGGATTCCCTGGGGCCCACTGACCAGGCCAGCTAGCCTAACTGGTGAGCTCTGGGCCAGTGAGAGATCCTATTTCAAAGGAGGTAGCTGGCGGCCCTGAGGATTATACCCACATTTGTCCTCTGCCACTTATCTGTTCTCCGACATGCACATGCAGCAGCACATAGATGAATGCGCACATACACACATGAGGTGAGGTGTCATGTTGAGGACTCATCAGGGACTCGAGCTTTCCCAGATTTTGAAAATAACAAGGACCTCAGGCAATGCAGGCCAGCCATAGGGTCAGTAAGAGGAAGTGAGCCTGCCCTGTAATTGACATGATCTCTGAGGATCTGGAATCCTGTATGGAGAGTGATGATGACGGGACTCCATAGAGAAAGCCTTGCTCTGGGACTGTAGCCTGCCCAGGGCCTGACTCTCAGGGAAAGTAAATGAGGGTTAGATGAGCCAACAAGGGCCACTGGTATAGCTCAGTGGTAGAATGTGTGCTTAGCAGGTGTGAAAGCCTGGGTTGGGTCCCCAAAACTAATTAATGGTGAAGACGATTCTGTTCTATTTAGCCCTGGGATAGACAACAAAGAAGTAATTCTAGGCACAGCTCAGGGCTTCTTCAAACCCAGAGTCCACGAGATCTCATTCTCCACAGGTGAGAAGCAGATGCGCTTCAGCCTCTCTGAGCTCCCCTATGATGTGAACCCTGGAGGTGGCTATGAAAAGGATGTGGAGCTTGTAGCCCACCACAGCCTGGAGCCTGGCTTTGGAGGTTCCCTAGCCTTTGTGGGTACAGAGCATCTGCGCCCCCTCCGCCTCCCACCCACCAACTGCATCTCAGAACTCACACCTGTCATCAGCTCTGTGTACACTCAGATGCAGCCCCTCCCCAGCAGACTGGAGCTTCCAGGATCCCGAGAAGCAGGTGAGGGACCTGAGGACCTGGGAGATGGCGGTCCCCTCCTTTATCGGGCCCGAGGCTCTCTCACTGACCCGGGGGCATCGCCCAGCAATGGCTGCCAGGACTCCACAGATACAGAGAGCAACCATGAAGATCGGATTGGCGGGGTGGTATCCCTCCCTCAGGGTCCCCCAACTCAACCTCCTCCCACCATAGTTGTGGGCCGGCACAGTCCCGCCTATGCCAAAGAGGACCCCAAACCACAGGAGGGGTTATTGCGGGGCACTCCAGGCCCCTCCAAGGAAGTGCTTCGGGTGGTGGGTGAGAGCGGCGAGCCGGTGAAGGCCTTTAAGTGTGAGCACTGCCGCATCCTCTTCCTGGACCACGTCATGTTCACCATCCACATGGGCTGCCATGGCTTCAGAGACCCTTTTGAGTGTAACATCTGTGGTTATCACAGCCAGGATCGATATGAGTTCTCTTCCCACATTGTCCGGGGGGAACATAAGGTGGGCTGAGACCCTTTCCCCTCGCCTGCCCTCAGCCCCGACACCGCTGTCCCCCTACAGGTGTCTAGCCCAGTTTTTATTATGCTCTAAGGAATTGTGCATCGTGGCCCCATCCACGACCACCTCACTGCACACTTGACTCTGACCCTCTTTACCTGTCTCCTTCTACCCACACTGATTTAAGCATCGTGACAAGACAAGTCTTTTGCTTATATTTATCCCTCTAAACTCCTCTTTTCCTGGCCTATTTCCTGTTTATTAATGACTTTTCCTTGGCCTTTTTTAAAATTTGCTTCAATCTCTGGCCACTCCTTCACTCTTCTGTCCATGGCTCCCTTGGGCTCTAAGTCTAGATTTTTTTTTTCTTGTGGATCCCAGATCCTCCAGCAGCTCCAGGGGTTGGAAGCTCCTCTTTGTACTAAGAGATGTTGAGCTTCTTGCTTTAATCCTCACCTTGCTTTTCTGACTCTTCACTCTTGATGCTGATACCTCCCAATGGCTCCACTTTAGCTCTGTGGCATTATGAACTTCTCTCTGGGAACCTTCAACCCGGTACTCCATACCTCTTGTGCCCTCTCACTTTAGGCAGCTTGCACTATTCTTAAATGAAGAATTTCCTCATTCGGAGGTAGGAGGGGGCTGTGAAAACTCTCCCAGGCACTGTGGACTGAGGGTCCTCTTGACCTCACCTGGGAACACCAGCTCCCTAAAGCCTGCATTCAGGATTGCCCTCCAGGATGTGATATCACTCTTCCCTCTCCCTGTCTCTCCCCTCAACACCACTCTGGTCTCAACTTGCCACTCCCCTCAGTGGCAGCTTTTCTCTCCTTGAAATGCCCCCAATTTTATACTCTCAGGGGCTAAAGCTAGGCCTGCAGCCGTCCATGTGACACACTGGGAGCCACAGGTGCCTAGCTGAGAACCAGGGCATGGAAAAGGGGGTGGGTAGAAGTCTCTCCTCCACCTTTCAAACTCTTTCACTCCAGTGACCTTGCTAGGCTGTCAGGGACTCCTGTCCCTGTTTGATGAGAAACTGGTGGGTTGCTGCCCAACAGCCAGGGGTCTCAGCCTCATAAGTCACGCTGCCTTTTTCCTCTCCCTTCCAGCAGGATTCACCGTCTCATTCCCAAGCTCCTGGGCCCTGTTATTGTCAATGGCAAGGAGAAAGGAATGTCTCTTTTCTCTCTGCTAATTTTCAGTATAACCAAAAATTGTACCAGGACCAATGACATATATGTGCCCTTCGACCATCCCACCCTTGTCCCAGCAAATGGGCTGGACACAGCTAACTGGGAGTCATCCTTCACTGCCCTCCATCTCAGCTCCAGACACAGGGCAGGAGAGGCACCTTTCTCCGGTGGTTGATCTCTATTTGGGTAATCAAGGATTCATGAGACCATGCAGGAGAAGGCATAGCTCCACTGCATGTGGAAGGCTCAGTCTACAAACAGTTCCCTGCCAAGGCCACAGCCATCCACGCTCTGCTTCTTTGAGATTCAAACCAAAGGCTGTTTTTCTATGTTTAAAGAAAAAAGAAAAAAAAAGTAAAAACTAAACACAACACCTCATAAGTTATTAGGCTCAGTCTCTCTTCCTTTCCTTCCATCTTCTTTCCACCTGCTCTCTTTCATCAGCTCTTTTGCCTCTCCCTACTTTCCTCACTCCCTATTAGAGGATTAGATATTGAGAGGCAAGAAGGGTGGGCTAGATCAGAACCTGGGACTCCAGCTCTTAGGTACACTCTGGAGACAGTCTACTTTCCCCTATCATGCGAAGGGTGGGAGGTGAAAAACACTTCTCTTCTTCCTTCTCCTGCATTACATGGTTTCCCAAAAGGACCAGATAGGCAGAGAGAAGCTTTGTGGGACGGTTCTTCCTCCTTGACAATGTAGCAATAAACAGGTGCTGCCAAAGGCAGAGAATGGCGTATGAACTCTAAAGGGAGTTGTCCAAAGAGAAGGGAAGGGTCTTGGCTGCAGAACCTTGGCACCAACTTCTTCTTGGGATGGCAGCAGAGCTGAGGTTAGTGTCTGAGCTTCTCCTGAAATATTTGGGTTATTGGGCCTCTCCCATTAGGCTTGCTCCCACCTCTTCTGTGTCTGCCATGTATTTGGGGATACCTCAGAAGGACGCTGAGGCATTAGAGCCTTAGAGTGCCCCATGCCTCCCTCCATTCAGTCAGCCTCAGCACCTGTGACCTCCCAGGAACACAAAGGACTGTGCTCCTCCCTCTGAGGCTAGACATCATGCCATGAGAGCAGAGACAAGACCAGGTGCTAGGGAGGAGAGGGACATCCTGTCTCTCTCCAGCCCATCACTGCACTTTAACCAGGATCTTAGGTACAAAATCCTACTTTTCAGAGCCTGCCAGCTCCAGAACCTCAAATATCCTCATGCTCTCTCCCAACTCCTTTTGCATAAAAGAGAGAGAAAGAAAAAAATTAACAAAAAACAAAACGCCAAAACCCACACAGAGAAAAGAGGTGTTTTCTTTTTTATTACTGTTCAAAAACATCACAAAAAACTGGGGGGAAGGGAGAGAATTTCTAGACACTTTTCCAGACCTGTGTGTATGTGTGTGTCAGTGTCCAAGCTGCAGGTAGAATTTTGTAATACTTCTGGCAGCTTCTTTCCTTGTGTACATAATATATATATACACACATATATTTTTAATCAGAAATTATGAAAATCAAAATAGAATAAACACAGAAGCAAGTGCAATACCACCTCTTCTCCTTCTCCCCAGGATTCCTTTGTAGCTGTTTGGTGACCCTTTGACCCTTGACTCTTTACTCTTCCAATTTCTTACCTATCCTCCCCTCCCTCTTTTTAAAAGGAGTTTTTCTCCCTTTTCAAAGGGAGTTAAACCTGCTTTTGAGACTTACTGCAGAGCGTTTTGTATATGTAATATACTGTAAGTAAATATTTGTGTAATGGAGAAATACTACTGTAAGTTTTGTACTGTACTGGCTAAAGGTCTGTTATAAATAAACATGAGTAATTTAACACCCATTTGTTCTTGCTAACTACCTTTGCCTTGTTTTCCTTCTGGAAGGAAGGCAGACCAACTATTTCTCTGTTCAGGATGTAGACAAGTCTAAGACTAAGACGGAACCAGACCAGACCACTTGAGTCACAGAAGATTATTTGAGACAGGGTCTCTGTGTAACTTGGCTGACCAGGAAATCACAGAGATCTGCCTGCCTTTGCCTCCCAACTTCTGGGATTAAAGGCATGGGCCACCATGACTATTTTGTATTATTTTTATTTTTTTAGATTATAATTTGATTATAACATTTCTCCCCTTTCTTTCAAACTGACCCATGTATTAAACCCATTTCTTTCAAATCAAGCTTTTTTCCTTCTTATTGTATTACTATTAGCCCATTGTTATTATTATTATCCAACATATATATCCCTAGGTATAGCCTGTTCAGTCTGTGCAGTGCTACTCGTGTGTATGTTTCAGTGCTGACCGTTTGGCACTGGACAAACAATTGGTGTGGTCTTCCCTGGGAGGAGTGCCTCTTCCCCTCCCAGATTTCTTTAGTTGCCTGTAGTTCTTTGTGTAGAGTTGAGACCCCATGGGCTTTTCTCCATCTAGTTTGGTGTGTGCTTTGGTATCATCCTTCTTTGGCGTGCATTTGGGCAGTCATGTTGGTAAGACTTTATAGGTGTGGGCTGGAGAGATGGCTCAGAGTTTAAGGGCACTGGCTGTTCTTCCAAAGGTCCTGTGTTCAATTCCCAGCAACCACATGGTGGCTCAAAACCATCTATAATGAGATCTGGTGCCCTCTTCTGCCATGCAGGTAGAATACTGTATAATAATAAAAAAATAAATATTAAATACTTTATAGATGTAGTTTCTGATATTACTAGGAGATACAATCTCACAGCAAACTCCCTGATCCTATGACTCTTACAGTCTTTCTGTTTCCTGTTCTGCAATGTACCCTGAGTTTTAAGTCGAAGAAGTATCTTGTAGATGTATCCATTGGGACTGGATTCCACAACTCTGCATTTTGATTGGTTGTGGTTTTCTGTAGTGGTCTCCATCTGTTGCAAAGAGAAGTTTCTTTGATGAGAGGTGAAGACTATACTTATCTGTGAATATAAGAACAAATGTTTATAGATTGCGTTAGGAATGACGCTGGTATGGTAAATTAGTGGTTGTAGATTTTACTCGATGACCGTGACTTCACTAGCACTGAGTAGTTGGTCCCACGGTTTCCCTCTTGCTGAGTGGTTCTTCAGTCCAGTTAGACAGTCTCTGGTCGTAGTCAAGGTATGTGTGCCACTACTGCAATTGTGGTTACAACCTTAGGGATGTCATGCAATGCTGGTCATTGATGTGGTTCAAAGGCATCACAGCTGAAAAAACTACTGTTGGTTAACTCCCTTCAGTTGGAAGCTTGCTTGGTGCCTTCTGGTACCATAAAAGTCCTCAGGTGGGAAATATTCAGGCCAAGTCTAACTCAGGGGTCTCTTACCTTGTTTCTGAAATGCAAGGGCAACAGGAATAGGCTTTATGTTTTGGGAGTCTCTTGGATAATCCTGGCCAACAACTCAAAAGGAATTCTCTTTTTGGCATTGTTTGGTATTGGGGTTTTTGCTAGGCGGTCTTTGGCTCTTGGAAGGAGCACGATAAGCCCTGATGAGAAGATTCATTAAAATATATATGTACATTTATACATGGAAGCTAGGCAGTAGTGGTGCACACCTTTGATCCCAGTGCTCAGGAGGCAGAGCAGGCAGATCTTCGTGAGTTCGAATCCAGTCTGGTCTACAAAGTTCTGAGTTTCAATCAGAACTGTTTCATGAGAAACCCTGTCTCAAAAAAATAAATAAATTATATATGGAGTTATGTGTATTCTAGGGTTTTTTGGTAAGTAGATTATAGTATGATTTCTCATAGCTTTTACAGAAATCCTTATTGATATTTTATCTGCACCCCTCCTTTTTCTGTGTTCACCTCCTTCACCTTCCCTAGAGAGGCTGCATTTCCCATTCCCTATCAGATTGTGTACTGCTATTCTCCTTACCTTCCTTCCTCTCTTTTCTGTATTTATCTCACTAAGGAGACCCCTTTCCCATTTTCCATTTGATCAGATCACTTGTCCTCTGTTGCTGCCCCCTCTGCTGCTCCCCAGCCACCCTACCCCAGCAATGGTTCTGTTTGGCTTTCCTGATTTCTGCAGTTGTCCTAGGATATATATTCACACCTGAAGATGGAGCTAGGAGCCTCCAATGAGAGTGAACTTTCTTTCCTCATTCAATATGATCTTTTCTAGTTCCATCCAATTACCTGCAAAGTTCATGATTTTGTTTGTTTTTGTTTGTTTTGGTTTATTCAAGACAGGGATTCTCTGTTGTAGTGTTGGCTGGAACTCAAGAGATTTGCCTGCCTCTGCCTCTGGAGTGCTGGGATTAAAGGTGTGTGCTACTTCCACCCGGCTTGTTTTTTATGTTTTGTTTTGCTTTTTTCACAGCTGAATAGTATTCCATAGTGTACACAGACCACGTTGTCCTTATCTATTCATCAGCTGGAGGGCATTTAGGTTGTTCCATTTCCTGACTATTGTGAATAGAGCAGCAACGAACACGGCTGAGCAGGTGTCTGGGGAGTAGAATGTTGAGTCCTTTTAGCACACGCCAAGGAGTAGTGTAGCTAAGCCATATGCTAGATTTATTTTATCTTTCAAAGATCCTCCACATTGATTTCCAGAGTGATTACCAGACTGCAAGCCCACCAGTAGTGACTGAGCCCTCTCCATCATTTATTATTGTCAGATGCTCCACTGATCTCTGCCATTCTGGCTGGGGTAAGATAAAAATCTCAAAGTTATTTTGATTTCCGTTGATTGGCATTTCCCTAGTTGCTAGGGATGGACTTTTTTTTTTTTTCTCAGCCATTTTTTTCTTCTTTTGAGAACTCTCTATTCATGTTCCAGGCCCATTTTTCCAATGGGTCATTGTTTATTTGGACTCCTCCTTTTATGAGTTCTTTGTATTTGGGATATTAAACCTCTGTTAAATATCTGGAAGATATTTCTGGAAGATTCTCTTCCATTCTGTGGCTTTTCACCTGCTTGTTTCTTTTTCTTTCTTTTCTTTTTTTTTTTTAAGATTTATTTATTATGTATACAGTGTTCTGCCTGCATGTGTGCCTGAACGCCAGAAGAAGGCACCAGATCTCATTGTAGATGGTTGTGAGCCACCATGTGGTTGCTGGGAATTGAACTCAGGCCCTTTGGAAGAGCAGCCAGTGCTCTTAACCTCTGAGCTATCTTTCCAGCCCTCTTGCTTGTTTCTTTAAGTGTGCAGAAGCCTCTTAGTTTAATCAAGTCCCACTCAAAATACCTGTGGGACTGGAGAGATGGCTAAGAGGGTTAGAGCCCTTGTTAGTCTTACAGACCCATGTCCCATTCCCAGGACCCACACTGTGGTTCACAACCATCTGTAGCTCTAGTCCCAGGTGGTCTATGAGTTCTTCTAATCTTTCTGGGCACCAGGCATGTGGTGTGCACACATACATTTGGAGAAACATTCACACATGCAAAATAAAGTAAACTTAAAAACAGACGTGTGCCACAGCAACTGTATGGAGGTCAGGTGACAACTTTCAAAAGTTAGTTCCAGCCACCCAGCTTGGTGACATCAGTCTCCTCCTGCTTCTACCACACTGCTGCTCCAGACAAGCTGACTTCCCAGCTCAGCTTCCATCTCCACTCAGCAGCCCTGGGACGGCATTACAGATGTGGGCCGCTCCATCCAGTGAAGTTTTACAAGAGTTCTGGAGATGGAAATCCAGTCTTCAAGTTAGCAGGTTTACCTGCACCGCTACTCTACGCTGCCTGTAATTACAACACGTGGATGGTGGCGTCCAGAAGGTAACAAATTCATGGTCATAACTGGCTACAAAATCCATTCCAGGCCAGGCTGGTCTACATGACATGTTTCAAAATGAAGCGGGAATAACTGTATCTGTCTGATAGACTTGCTCAGTTAAACTGAGTTGGTACATACAAACAACTACCTATAGTGCCTGGTCTGTATTAATAGCATTTAGAAATACGGTTCAGGCCCGGTATGGTGGCACACGCCTTTGATCCCAGCACTCCCAACACTAATCCTAGAGGCAGAGGCAGAAGGATTTCTGAGTTCGAGGCCAGCCTGATCTACAGAAAAATAAAAAAGGTGGTTCAAAACAAAACTAAGATAAGAAATAGTTGCACTAACAAAACATTTGTCTCAGCTGGGCGCGGTGGCGCACGCCTTTAATCACAGCATTCAGGGAGGCAGAGGCTGGCGGATCTCTGTAAATTCGAGGTCACCCTGGTCTACAACGTCAGTCTAGTCCAGCCAGTGCTACACAGAGAAACCCTGTCTCGAGAAACCAAACCAAACCAAGCATCCTCGTTTGAAGGATATGGAAGGACGAATTTACAAACGGTTTGTTTCCGTCCAGGTCTCCTATTTCCTACACCTAGAACACACATTACAAAGACGTGAGCCACGGCGTCCCACGGTGGTGTAGCGCCGCCTTTAGTCCGTCTACTCCGGGCAGTCACACACCTCCCACAATGCATCTGGTCTCGCCTAACAACTAGGAGTGTGCGTCCAAATTCTGGAACACTTCCGCTCTGGAGATAACGTGAACCGGATATTATACTGCCTACAATTACTTCCTGGTTCAGGACGTATCACATTTTAATCTTCCGCCAGCAGATTAACTAGTCCCGCTGCTACTTTGCGCCACAGGTAATTTCTAGGGCTTTGTTCCAACCCTACACTTCATAGGAAACGCTAAAGAATTAGGTAAATTGGAGTACAGTGGCTGCTAAGAGTAACCAGAATTCCTCTCCTCTAAGGATTTCTTTTCTCCGGCGCGGGCGTAAGGCTCTCGTGCTATATAAGAGCGTCCGGTGGGGCGCCGCATCCTCTCTCGGGTCTTGACTCCAAGATGGTGAGTGCGGCGGCGTGGTGAGCGCGCGAGCCTGGGCGGTGGGGAGGGGTGGGTAGGTTTTCGGATTGTGGGGATTTGAGAGTCGGGGGCCTGGGGGAGGAAGTTAAGAAGTGTACATCTGTCCCGGGCTTGAAGGGCCTAGGTCGCATGGCTCGGTTTGTCGGGGCGCGGGCGGTGGCTGGCCGGAAAGGGCTGGGTAAGTTGCACCCTTTCCTAACAGGATCTTCTTTCGTGTTCAGACCAAAAAAAGAAGAAACAACGGTCGAGCTAAAAAGGGCCGCGGCCATGTGCAGCCGATTCGCTGCACGAACTGCGCCCGCTGCGTTCCCAAGGACAAGGCCATTAAGAAGTTCGTCATTCGGAACATTGTAGAGGCCGCTGCTGTGAGGGACATATCCGAAGCAAGTGTCTTCGACGGTAAGTCGGCCACGTGAGGTCAAGTGTGTACGGAGAGTGAAAAGGTGTACTTGGCTACCGTCAGCGTTGGGCAGAGGGTGCCTTTTGTGGCCTAGTAAAAAACGTTTAGCGTTGAGGTTTGAGCTTAGATTTTTTTTCTTTCCGCCCTCTTGGTCGAGGCTCCTGCATGGTAGACAAACCACGCCTGCGTCCTGTCCGTGTGACTGCGTATTTTGGAGAAGAGAGTCTGTAAGAGGTAGAAACGTGATAAACCCAGAAGCTCTTTCCTAGAGAAAATGAGCTACTTTTAAAACGAGCAAAGACTTAGCTGTAAATGAAGCAGGCTGCAGGTAGGTTTTCTGGAACTCGATGTATAGACCATCTGGCTCTGAACTCGGGCCAGTTCAGGGAAGGTGTGTCTGCCCCGCCAGTGTGTCAATACGCCTGGCTGATTTCCTTGACTTAGGCGATGATGATGATAGGTATGGGACCTGCCAACAGAATTGGACTCTCTCCTTCCCTAGCCCATGCCCCAAGAGCTGTCTGTGTTGGGTGGGTTTATCAGAGCTGTGCATGTCACTGCTGGACTGCTGAGTGGTCTTGTGGAGGTGGTGTGTGTGTGTGCACCTGAGAAGAATTCTGACCAGTACAGTAAGGGGGTCACAGTATGCACATATATCTAATCTGCTTCTCAATTTGTTAGCGTACGTGCTTCCCAAACTTTATGTCAAGCTGCATTACTGTGTGAGCTGCGCCATTCACAGCAAGGTGGTTAGGAATCGATCCCGTGAGGCCCGGAAGGACCGAACACCTCCACCACGATTTAGACCTGCTGTAAGTAATTTTTGTTTTAACCTGAGACTTGGGGACTTACCCAGAGAAATGTCTACTACGGTTTTAGTCTGGTATGATTGCTTTACCAGAGCTGGTGGGAATGGTGTGGTATCTTCCAAGTTCATTTTATAGTGGGGGGGGGCAAACCTAGGTCCTCAACTTGCTAGTGATGAGTGCTCT